TATTTAGTAAATACCATTTCCTTTACCAACTAACCTAACTGCCGACTTTGAACGGTAGTTTTAGATGTGGAACATTATGATATATTTTATTTAGTAATACCATTTCCTTTCCAACAACTAACTGCCGACTTTGAACGGTAGTTTTAGATGTGGTAACATTATGATATATTTTATTTAGTAATACCATTTCCTTTCCAACAACTAACTGCCGACTTTGAACGGTAGTTTTAGATGTGGAACATTATGATATATTTTATTTTAGTAATACCATTTCCTTTCCAACAACTAACTGCCGACTTTGAACGGTAGTTTTAGATGTGGAACATTATGATTTTGAATACCCATATATGCTCTTAGTGTCTTTGTTTGTCACATGTGAAGCTTGCAAATATAGATTAATTTTGATAGACAGTTTATATTTACTGATGTGTGAGGTCTACATCTGCCGATTCTCATCTTTCTAAGGTATATCATACCCTTCTCACATCGTGGTCTTCTATCGTTATTTCACCTCTCTGTCTTTTATGCGCAATGGTTTTCGTTTCCGTCCTTATTATTTTAAAAGTTGTCTTCTCCATTTCCACATACATACATATTGCTTTCAGGGGTAGTTTTATTTGGTACAAATGTGACATACTAATAATTATCTTAATTATGATCATTAAAATACCTGGAATATATCTATATATATCTGTGTGTGTTAAAAACATAATTCAGTACATTTCCTTTAAATCTTGTTTTTTAGCATCTGGTAATTTTTCAACATAGCACAACAAAAGTAGAAATTAAAAACTCAATTTTTAAAAAAAGTTGTTCAGTGAATTAAATGAATGATATATGGCTCTCCCTCAGAGCAGTTGGATCATGGAGTTAAGGTGTTCTTACCTCCATGAGGTGTAGAGTGATACTTTTCAAGTACATCATGAAGAGTTGCAGACTAGAGGACAGTCTTTACAAAGACAAGCCTCTCCCTCTAGCTCGGATGGCTCCGAACACCTAAAACAATAAATTTTTCATTTATTTTAATCATACTTTGTACATGTTTTTATACATATATTTACTGGAGAAATGATGTAGCATTACAATGAAACTTTTTATCGGTCGTGTCACGCTAATTTAAATGTTTTGTAAGCTGTGGAGCTAGAAATGAAAGAGATATATATATATAAAGTAAAAACTTATGACACAATATTTTTGTTCTATTTTAACATATACAAGTCACAAAAGAAGTATGCAACTTTATAATTGTTGTTATTGATACAAATTACATTGTTTAGTTGTATTGTTAAAATCCTTCATCCAACACTGAAAACAAAATAACTACTATTCGCTTATAATCTATAATATACGCCATTTTTAAGTACTTATCATTCGTTAAGGTTGAGGATCTCACTTTACTATTTATCCATAAAAATAACGAGTGTTTGGTTTTCAGATACGCTTATTTCAAAGAACGTTTATAGAGTTATCAAGAGATATCACAAAATAATGTCACCACTTAACTGTGACAGCAAAGAGCATTCGTATTCCCAACTGTTTTTCATAATTTCATGTAATACACTCTACAAAAGGAGGTGAAACGTGACGTAACTGTAAAACTATTTTTTAACTTCTAAGCACGACCTCTTTGTTAGATTTATATCATATAACAATGCTATACGAAATGCAGTAGCGCTGCTAAAGTATTCCTAATAAGACTTTTGCACGACATCCGTGTCGTGTTCATGTTATGCAACAGTAGTCGGTATTTTACCGTGTAACTACTAAACAATTTTGAACATGACATTTTTGTTATGTTCATACCTTTTAACGATACTAGGTGAAACACAGTAAAACTGCTAATTTATTTTTAGCATGACATTGTTATGCTTATGCTATATATTTGGTGCTAGGCAGAGATATGGTGCTCTTGGCAATACCTGAAATGTAAATTATGTTTTATGGAGACTTCACATGTGTGACAGGAATTTTGGCAGGTCTCCAACGCTATAACATTTAGCACTACACCACTGACAGCTAGGTGAAGTACTTTGGCACTCTTAATTTAAAAACCTCTTTAGAACCTTTGCATATTATTTTTTGTAACTTTTGTTTCAAGATTATTTTATTCAGAAAATCAACATAAAACGTTTAAAGTATAAATTTATGGATATATGTGATACCCATATGCTTTGCTCCATAAGATATCTTGAAAACTTCTCTTTAAAAGCCTATCGCATGTAATTAACTTCAAAAACTGGGGCAGAGAACAGGCTCATAGCATCACTATAAATAAAAGTACGATATAGCTCAAAAACAATCTTCTCCACTCTCATGAAAGGCATATTTTAAATGTTTCCATTTTTTTACAGATATTCAAATTTGTTTATCACCAAGTAATGTTCATAAACACGTTATCAGTAACAGCATAGTTTCATCCTGATGCCGAAAACGTGTGTTCAAACTCCGAATACACTATTGTCGTGCATCATTCTTGGTAATATTATTCGCATTGGTAAGCAATTACCAATAATATTTCGTGTGCTTGGTTTAATGGTATTCAATTATGCCACATCTACTTTGATTTGCACAAAAATAAATAAGCTGCTACACGAAAATATTGCATTGTATATATATTTTAGAATAAAAATCTTTACAAACATGCACTATTATGTCTAGCCTCAATGATTTCTTAATAACGGGTATTAGATAAGCGTAATGTGAGGATAGTTTTCGCATGTATGTATACACAACGGTAAACACCGTGATCGAAAAGGTTATGTGTCTCTGTGCGAAATTCTTTTTTCTGAAATAAAATTAATTTTATGTTATTTCGACTTACTTTGTTGTCTTCTCATTCATAGGGTAAAAAAGTTGGCCGTCAATGTCGTTTTCAGTTTCATTCAGTAGAACATAATTGATTTGGAAAGGAGAGAACCCAAAGTTTTTAGGAGTGGACCCCATGAATTCTAGCCATCTCTGGGGATTGCATTTTCTGCCCCATATTCCACACATCATGTCCTTTAGCAAAGACGTACCTGGGAAAATCCCTTCGACATTTTCACACGAACTAAATAATTCCTCAGCGTACCTGCAAGCATCAAAGTGTAAGGTTTTCACGTGATTAAAGCGAGAGTTCATATACTTTATAAAAAATGTCAAGAGCATAAAGTTAATCACACTATAATTTTTCATATTATTCTAAACTAAATTAGAGATATAGGAGACTGGATTATTAATTTACATTTAATAAAGTTATAAACCTTATTTTACACTGTGTCTAAAAATAATGTAATGAATATCAAAATTTGATAACATTCTATAAAACAAGCAAGGTTCTAACTATTGATCCATTTTTTTCAAAAAATGACAATTGAAACAACTCGTAAAGGCTATGTTTCGTTTTTCAGTTTTACTGAAATACAAAACTTAGAAAGAGGCAATACTGTTCGAAGGGGCAAAAAAGAAATTACAACCGAAAAAAATTGTGACACAAATAGATGTTAAATAAGATTCTAGAATGATGGACATAATACACGGAAGAGTTATATAAGGATAATAGACAGGAGAAAGGCAACATCAATGTGCTGAAACAGAATTCCTACATTCGTTGAAACTGAAGTTCACAGAACAACAAGACTTAACAAAAACAAAGCAACTGGTATTGACGTAACCCCAGCAAAATTTTTAAAGTACATTAAAAATAAAAGTCTGAATACCCTAATAAATGTCATCTGTGAGAGCGAAAAAGTACCTTACGGCTTTAAAGAAACAGTGTTTATTCCAATACCCCCCCCCCAAAAAAAATAGCAGTCGAATAACACACACACAGAAAAAATTTAGTACATCTCGTAACGAGAGAATGAGATTGATGAGATTGAAGGTTATGAGAAGATACAGTAATGGAACATGTAAATTATGAGTCAGTGGAGTTTTAAAGAGTATGCTAAAGAAGATGTGCCAAGAGAGACCACTTGACTGGGACAGGTGTTTGCAGACAGTATTATTCGCTTATTGAGAAGTCCTACAGGCAAGTACAGGATTTTCACCCTTCAAATTACTGTAGGGAAGAACGGTATGAGGTCCGATGCAAATATTGAAAGTGCTATGGACGGGAGAAGAAGAGTCAGAAGTAAGGAACACATACTAGTATGTGTTAGACTTCAGAAACCGCCTGAAGGAGACCTGTCAACTCGCTCGACGGAGTTTGTATACAGCTCAAGATAGTCAGAAGCATTTTTGTGACAAGAAGACCAAGAATTGACATTTTAAGGTTGGACAAAAGGTCTTAGTTTTGCTGCCCACAGACCACAACAAACTCACTGCAATGGAAAGGACCTTTTGAAGTACAGAAAGTACTCAACAGAATGGACTACAAGGTGAATGTGAACGGGAAGACCAAGATCTACCATGCCAATCTGTTGAAACAGTATTTTGGAAAAGAAGAGGACCTCACAGATGCAGCTACTAAAACAGAGATGGATGATGCAGGTGTGGCCATCACAGATGCAGAACCAGAGGACAGTGACTTTGTCTTAGAAGATGAGGATCTACTAGACCTAAGACCACTAAATGGGGATGAAACATACAAAGATGTAATCAGCAAAGAACTGACTGGCAAGCAAAAATAATGAGTAACAAGACCTACTGTGCCAGTACGCAGATATCTTCATGGATATACCAGGAAAGACAGACATTGTGCCACATAAGATCAAGACCACAACCAGGGATCTAGTCAAAGTGAAGCCCTATGAAATGCCTTATGCAATGAGAGATCATATAAGACAGGAAGTTGAGGTAATGTTGGAAGCTGGAGTCATCGAGCCTTCAAATTCAACCGACTGCAAAACCATTTCTGCCTAGACTTCCGGAAGCTGAACCTCGTGACAAAGTTCGACTCTGAACCTATGGACGCAAAGGCCATCATGGCAAAGCTAAATGGAGCCAGATTCTTTTCAAAGATCGCCCTCAGTAAAGGTTATTGGCAAATCCCGAAGGAGACGGGATCTAAAGAGAATACAGCATTTGTGACATCAGGTGGATGTTACCAATTTAAGTGGATTAATTTGGGTTAGTAAATTCAGCAGCAACATTCAACTGCATGATGAGGAAGATGCTGCACAACACCACCAACATCGAACACTATGTGGATGGCATTCAGACACACACACTGCAAGATTGGAAGACCACCTGAAAAGACTTAGACAACTATTCCAGCGAGTGAGGGCTACATCCAAGTGCTACATCTGATATATCGGGCTGGATTTTGTTGGACATAAAGTGGGGGGACCGACAGATAGCCATGGAAAAAGAAAATATAATCTGCATGCAAGATACACCAGCTCCAATAACCAAGCAGCAAGTCATATCCTTCCTGGGGTTGGCGGGATACTACAGGAAATTCATCCCAAATTATGATGAAATTATTGCACCACTGACTGACCTGACTTGACCAAGAAAGGCTTGCCCAACAAGGTGAAGTGGGAACAACCACACCAGAAGTTAAATAACATGTTGGGAAGCTCATCAATTCTTAGAATATCAGACTTCAACAAACCATTCATTGTTCAAACTGATGCTCCAGACAATGGAATTGGGCCAGTACTCTTACAATAACATGAAGATGGACTGTTTCCAGTAACATATATAACTAAAAAGCTGTTAAATGGTGCGAAGAACTACTCTATGATTGAATGTCTGGCCATTATATTTGCCATTCGTAAATTCCAGAACTATCTATATGGGAAGAACTTCATCATCTAAACCGACCATCAACCACTTGCATACATTCAGAGGTGCAAGATCGACAGTGCAGGGATCATGAGGTGAGCATTGTATCTACAGAACTACAAGTTACGCATTGAAGCTATCAAAGAGGCTGCAAATGTTGGAGCAGAATCTATAAGCAGACTTTGTGTATGAACTATGAACAGTTTTTGTATATAGTAATAAAAAAAATTTTATCTTGAAGATGGGTTTATGTCATGATATAAAAGACTGTTTCGCTTAGATATTAGTGATTAGTTTATTTTTGTGAGTGAATATTTTACTATTATTTACTTTTTGTTATGATAAGAGTTAAAAGCAGACGAATGTAGGAAGGTTTATTAATAATTCATTGACGTCGAGAATATAGAAGGAGGAAAAACAAGTAAGGGATAATGATATAAATAGCGTGAGACGAGCGGGAAGCAGCAGACAGACATAAGCAGACAAATAATAGAAGAGAAGAAAGTTGGCGTGAAGTTAAGTACCGTAGATGTGATAGGTTTAACAACTGACATAGGCCTAACGTTTAATATGTTAGAGTGAAACTAACAGTAGAAAGAAGATAAGAAAAATAATTTTGTTCCATCAGAGCGTGGTTCTAAAGTAATTGAATCAGCCTGAGTGCATATTGACAAAAGGAACAAAGGATCTTCAAAAGAAAGAAGACCAAACGATTACGGTACCTCGCGCCACAAATGTAAGTGAATCACAGAGAGTACTAGTGTGATAGAAATAGAGAAGATAATTTGGCTTGTCAACTGAAATTCTAAAGTAATTGAATAGGCCTAAGTGGATATTTCACAGAAGAATAGAACTGCATATATAGTATTTATGATATACCCATAATATCTATAGTGTTGAAGAATTTATTGTACATACGTTAACTTATTCTGAATATATATATCATTTTGAAAACATGTGAAGTGCGTGCTGTTTATTCATCGCTAACCAGTCACAGACACCTACTGTAGAAAAATTCTAAACCCAATAACAACATAGTACATACTTATACTATTAAGAAATATAACTAAAAGCCTTTTTATTTTGCCAGTTGATAAAGAACATATTTTAAAATTCTCACAGTTTCCAAAAGTCAGTTTGTTTGTTTTAAAGCAAACTTGCACAATGAGCTAAATGCGTTTTGTCCGCTATGAATATGGAACCCCAAGTACTAGTGTTATAAATCTTCTAACCTACCGTTGAGCTACCGGGGGGTTACGAAATTCGGAAACCGTTTTTTTTTTTGTTCTGATTTTTTACCTACCAGTTAGTAACTTAACATTATGTAATAATTCGTACCTTAGCAGTAACTTTCTTTGTTCTGCAGTAACTTAAAATCAAATATTTTAAATATTATGCACCTTGATACATATAGTATTCAGAAGATAATAAAATAAAACCAGAGGAAAATGTCTAAGATCTCCTACTACACCCCTCCCAACCCCCCATGTAAAATGTTTCATTGTTTACTCTAATCATTCTCTTCTTTGTCAAATGTCTGCATTTTTCTAAGCTCGAAGAAATGAAAAACACCTTTCAACTATATTTTTCTCTAGGCTCATTTAAAGCTGTTTTTTTTTAATAAATACAAACTGGGGACAGAACACTTATATTTGTTCAACATTAAAATATCACGATTCTAAAAAGTGAAGTATATTTAAGAAATTTTCTTATAATTTTATTGTGTGAAAATGTGTTTTAAATTTGAAAAAAAAATCAAATTCACTTATGATGTTTAAGACTCTCTTAATATATTGGTGTTTAATGAAGTAGTCAGTGTTCCGTTGCTTTTACAATTTCAGTTTCAAATTATTAATTTGTTAAAAACGTGGAAAAGATTACCATAGTCATTTTAATGGTCTCTAAAAATAAGAGTATCCGCACATTGATTGACTACTCAACAAGTGACGGTATACGGGTCAATGTATTTTGATTAAGGAATTTGATATCATTCAGTGATAGTGAGCATGCAAAACGTAAATATCAAACTTACTTTAAAGATATGAAATATTCAAGTTCCTCCACTGTGGTTTGACCGTGGTCGTTCTCTTTGGTTTCAATGACCCTAAGGAATCTACTCTGACGAGGAGAACATGTGAGTTGACAAAACATCTGTTGGAAGTTCCTAATACAGGAAGGACAACGACCGAATCCAAGGCGACGTGGAAATTTTAGGTCTTTTAGTAGTTTTTCTACCTGTAACTTGGAGCAGCACGTGCGTGGATATACTTCTGTAATTAAGGAACAAGAGGAGGAAATATCAGTGAACTTTTGTTGTAGTATGTTCTTTAGATGTTTTAACTAAGGTGGTAGTTCTTGCTTACATAAAGTTGCGTGACGTTATTTTTATTCTGTCGTATACGTACAAGATGTTCCCAATAAGGAAAGCTAACTCGTACATTGACCTATCTAGATTAAAATAAATACAAAAGTAACATTCAAAATTGCGTATACATATTTTAAGTTACATGTTAACATATTTAAAAACACAAACGTTAACACTCTTCGAAACTAAGTTTATGAAAGTATTGTTATAAACACAACAAAATTTGCGCTTTTTTTAAACTGTAACAATAACGAGTAAATGTAAAAAATTATAAATATATGCAAATATTGTTACGACTAATGGGTATATCTTCAACTACAGCAACTGCGCTTTGTATATAAGCGAAAGAATTAAACTGTAATATCCAAAAAAACGAATTGTGATAAACGTACTATTAAGTAAGTAATTTAGACCAGCGATTAGCGTGTCCGAACTGCAGATCGAAGGATTCATGGTTTGCAACCATTTGACGGAAAACCACCCTCAGCACTTTTGGGCTATGGGTACGCTATAAAAGTGACGGTTGAGTCCTACTATTTGATCAGACGAGAGGTAGCGGTGGATGCTGTTGACCAATTGCCTTCCCTCTATCAGATTAAAATTAGGGACAGCTTTTACAATTCTGTACTAAATTCAGAAACAAGTACAAACAATCATGGTTAATTATTTCTGGCTACTCCTTATTCTTTCGTCTCCCTTTGAGACAGCGGTAAGCCTAAGGACTTATAAATAATAAAATCCGGGGTTCAATTCCCGCGGTGGACACTGCAGATATTCCTCTTTAAATCCTCTTCTTTCTGTTAAACATTACATGTAGTTACATTTCACTGTCGCAACATGAAAATATACCCAAGTGTTAAGTTAGCGTTTCCTAAATTACAACATGCAATTTGTCCCAAACCAGATACATCTCTGTCCTTTTTTTTGTTGTTGTTGTTGTTTTACTCCGTGTTCACAACAGTTTTGGTTTTTCAATGTTATAATAAATTACAAAAGAGCTTTTAATGAATCTCATTCTGTTTACTAATTCCATCCAAATGATTTTCGTTTGTTTTCCGAAATAAGTTGTTTTGAATATTTCTAAACAGAAACACTTGCTTATTCCTAATCTTTGAATTTTATTTTAAGTTATAAGATTATTATTGTATAGCTACAAACTTACTAATCACATAGAACCACATCTCAAATTTTCTCCACACTTTAGCTCAAAGTACATAAAATTTACCTTTGTGCTATATAATTTAGAGTAAATACATCTTTAAGTATTTTGATTGTACAAAATTACAAGCATCCTTGTAAAAATATGTTAAAAGGCGCGCGTCACCTAAAGTTTAGCGTGCCGAGCTATGAGTCAAACGGTTCGAACCACGATGCTGCTGAACACGCCCCACACTTTCCGCTGATGACTTATTAGAAACGTGAGAGGCCATCGCATTATACAGTTTGAGAAGTCGAGCATAGCCTTTGAGGCGGCAGGTGCAGCTAACCGGCTGCCCTCCCTCTATGGGTATAATTAAAGACAACTATACATGATTCTTTACAATCTCTTGTCCTTTGGCTCACTTGCACATAAGGGAGCTGTGGGAGCGTTATAACTATTCATTGGTAAAATAGTAGCCAAAAGTTGGCGGTAGGTTGTGTTAACTAGCTGCCTTCTGTCTAGTCTATAAATGCTAAGTTAGGGACGGCTAGCGCAGATAACCAATCTAACTTCCTATTATTCTGTGAAACCTGCCCGATTACTTTAAGATAAATCAGTGCACCTGAGAATACCATAAATGAAACATAAAAGTTACTGAAGTTTAAAAGTATAACCAAAATCTTACCATCTTGGAACTCGGGGCATATTTTTTTTAGTATCTTGATTGTCTCTTCATTAACCAATAACTGTGCTGACCCGTTATATAGGCAGTTGACCTGGCCGAACGTGCCTTGCCCACACTGGTCATACATTACACAGTGACCATCTTCCTTATCAGCCTAATATGTGTATAATTCACGTTAATTAAGTTATAATTGCAGCAATTCGGATAATTTATAACAGTTTTATGAAATTAGTTATAAACAAAAAAATAACATAAAATTAGATACAGAGATTGGTAATGGAACTACAGAAACCTGGATATAGCTTTATTAAGAAAAACAAGAATGTATAGAGTGCCTTACAATATGTGGGTAGATGTGTGCGGAAGAACGAAGTGGTTACTGTTATTAGAAATGTTGTCACGATCTTATTTGTGTGTTATTTTGCATTGCACACTGTGTAAAGGTAAAGAAGCATAAGTACGTACTTAACGTTGTTAGTTTTAAGTTAGAAGATTGCTATGATTAACTTGATAAGTTTTTGAGGTTTTAGTTAGTTGTCGATGAATATGTTTCATTGCTTGTTAATTCCAAAGAGTGCGTGTACAGAGCCTAAATAATTAAAAATAAAAATTTCCAATTTTGAAAACCTTGCTTGATGTGTAATTGTTCACAAGATGGCAAGTTCGCTCGGAGGATTATTAACTTCTGGTAAATGAAAATGATTATAACAAGAATCGAAATGTTAGTAATTAGCATCAGATAAAGCTTAATCAAGTTACATTAAACTGGCAAAGGTAATTCAAAATTTATGAAACTGCATAACTGACACCATTACATATGAAATGTTTAGTTATGGGAATCATTTAATCGAAATGAATGCAAGATACAACTTATTCTCTCAAAATCCATTAGTAGAGCGATGCCATCAGTATGACCTTTTTCTTACGAAAATCTATCCATTTTGGTCGTTTATTTTGGAACTAATAACTTAAAGCGAACTTTCAAAACTGCTGAAGAGTACTTCCTGGAACATCAAAACATCATAGCCATTAATGCGAACAACACAAATTTACTATCTCTAGTATTATCCCAGAATATGTCAATAAACATATTTCACCTCATATATAAACAATAAACAACACTTTAACAATCTTATTAAAAATCTGTTCAAACAAAATACCCGTGCACATCTTGCTTCGTCAGTCATACGGACTTTAAACCAGTTTCATCATCTTTCACAGTTGACTGTGCATCCCTTTCTGAGCCAGAATAACTGCATCCACATTCTATAATTATCCGCTGTTACAATCTAAACATGACGTTTTTTCTCATCACTTACTACTTTCTAATAAAAACAACATATGTCAAACCAACCTCACTCTGAACTTTCATTTGACTCTGTTCATCCCCAAGGAATGAACTTTGACACCTGAAGTACTAAGCTTCGATATTTAGTCAGATAGGACTAGGTACAGAATGTCTCTTATTTCCACATTATCGCCCTTTCAGCCGTGGGGGCGTTATAATGTGACGGTCAATCCCACTATTCGTTGGTAAAAAAGTTGCCCAAGAGTTGGCGGTG